TTCATGTCAGACAAGAAATATGCCAATATTTATGGGGTATTTTTCCATGTGTCTACTGAAGTTTGATTTCCTAAGCATACTTTTTTTAGAAGCGTAATCAAGAATTAACATGTCTGAACAGTGTACAGTGAATGCTCATTGGCCTGAACTCGAATGAGAAAGCTAAACTAAAAAATGATGGCAGTACTTTCACATTCTGCATTGCACTTTTATGAGAAATGGCAATTAAATAATAAATCAGCTCCTGCATTAACTTTAGAACTATAAGGGCAGCCAATCCCAGTTTATATATCATCGATATCTATATCAGTATAAAGTCTAACAATAGACTTCTATTATGATGGCCCTGAAGCACTGAAGGATCTTGAGATAGTAAAAGGTCAAAGAAAAATTTCACAAAGATATGTCCATCTTTTTACACAGTAATTACTTGTAAATGCATCATCGTTTATCCAAAATAAACCAAATATTCCTTTAATATGAACACTCATTTCTACAAGCCCTGTGGACAAAAATAAGTATAATGGGTGATCTTCTCTTTTTACAATTTTGTCCTTCCGTTAAAAATAAGTGCATCCTTTGACATCCTTTGCTTACTACTGATCTTAGAAATGTCTGTTTTTAACCACACCAGTGATCCCATTTGGAATATTTTGTATCAATTACCCTTACTACCAGTTGGTCTTTCCTTTCATTTTGACAACTGTTAGATGGAGCAGCTTGAGGAAGAATGTCACTACCAACTTTTTAACAAAAGCCTTGCTACCTGATAAAAAAGGATACTTTGTATTATATACATATATATCTTCATCAACTGTACCTAATACTCAGTTCAAGCATAAGCCCATTTCCTGGCAGCCATTCTGCTGGTTCACCATGGTCTGCCCACCAGATTTAATGACTCAGAAAAACTATATGTGTGTATTGTCCTAGCTTTTGTGGTCACTTCCTGTGTGGACAGTGATTTTTGGTAGACTTGCTACCAACTCTCCTATACGTCCTCTTTAATGCTCCTTGGTTTTCAACTTGAAAAAAGTTACAGAAATTTGAAAATTAATAAAATAAATCAAAATGTAAGTTGGAAATCAGTCAGTTCCAAATCCAATGAGTGGATGATCCAGGTTACACTAGCGGATCCATTCAAGTGATTAAACATTCCCACTACAAGTCTTAAAAAGGCAGAAACTCAATAACTTGACACAACCAAGTGAATTTCTTATAGGGAAGAAAGTGAGTCAAACTAGAAATTCATGGTTATTTTTTATTAAGATCTAAAAACAATATTCAAGTGGGAAAAGACAGATAAAACCATACACATGCAAGCACAAAACAAGCTAAGACACATTTTTCACAAATATCTCATTAAGTAATCACTCTACAGGAGAAAATCGTCAGATACTCTATAGATCAATATGTACTCCTGTATCTTTCTAAGAAATCGTCTGGCATCAGCATTGTTTGAGAGAGGATCATCAACTGTTGCCCTTGAAGTATTTTCTTTTTTTGTCATATCTTGCTTGCAGTGTAATAAGTACTATTCTAACCTAATAAATAAATGAAGAAGAGTTTGCCATACCAATACATTATGCTAAATCTCTGGGAATTAAGGAAGTAACAATGATCCCAGCATTTAAATCATCTTGCATTTCTCACATGCCACTGCCAAAACAATTTTGAATAGGATGGTGGGGGGTGGGGGGGTGGGGGGAGAATGTGACATGTCCCATTAACTGATTAAAAAATTAGTACCCCCTCGTTTATCAGTCTTAGATACTACTATATTCTAATGTAACTGCTTTACAGGAAGTGAGCAATCAGCAAGATGCCTCAATTGTCATGTACAAAACACAGCGATCCAAATGTACAAGCCTTTAAAGAAAGGGGAAAGGATATGGAACTGTATTGAGGAAATAAAATGATACGGGATAATGTAAGACAGATTTTATTAAAGCAATACTAACTACATTTTCATTCTAAGCTTCTTAAGAGCAAATACCCTTAATTAAATTATTAACTGTAATAATTTGATAATAAGAGATAAATACTTCTCTCTTTACCTATCCTTAGGTACACAAGATATAGTGTCTGTATTTGCAGTTCCTCCTCTAGGTGGCAGGTAGATTGTTAGAGGCTGTCACCAACGCAGGCCGTTTAGGCTTGCTTTGCTCACAAATCCAACACTGCTGGTCCCACTGCGCCATCCTCAGGTTCTCAGCATTGTCCCTTTGGCCCGATGGGATGCTAAGAGCTAACAGTGGTGCAATGCCCAGCCCATCACTGAAAAGACTCTACCCGCCAGCTGGCAGCAGTAGAATTCTGCCAACTGTACATCTCCATGCCGGAAGTTGAAGGGATATTCTTTTATATTGGCTCCAAAGTTCGAGATTCACAACCTCACATTCTGCTAACAGCTAGGTTGCTGCATGCCAGAGGTAGACGAAAGGAAACAAATGAAGCCCAGAAGAAGAGTTGACAGGCAGTGCAGGTGAAGGAAGCAAAAGTATTAAGGAAAGAGGAAGAAGAAAAAGAAGGAAAAGGTGATCTTAAGCTTTTAGAAAATCAACAAAGATGCTTAAAATTTGGCCCCAAGGGGCCAGCCTGATAGCCATTACTGGTGAGTTCAACACAACAGGGGGGACACTCACCTAAACACTGGCACAGGTTCCCTAAAATTCTACCCCCCCCCCCACACTGTTGCTTTCCTTTAGAGCCCTGTCACCCAGCAGCCACTATTAATTTAATCATAATGCAAAAGCCAAGCCCATCAGCATGTTAAAGAAATTATTCCATCAAGACTTTTATGTTGATTCTGACTTTTTTTCAGTCTCCTTACCAAAAGTGCTCCTTCTCAAAAGAAGTCTTTTCTTCTTATCCTTTAAGGATAAGGAAAGACCATTTACTCAATACAAAATATTATATTGAAAATTCTGAAAAACTTTGAAAAGCAGTTCCAGTTTCATTCTTTGAAAGAAAATGTTCAAGTCTGGAAGCTATATACCCATAGGGTTCCATTCACAGATGTACCTGTGATGAAAAGTCATTGACCCAACCTTTCAGTCTAAGCTCTTCTTCTATAAATTAGGAATAATACAACTCATGTCACGGATCACTGAAGGCTAAATAAAACACAAAGTTCTACGCTTGCATAGTGACTTAAGCTTATGATGCTCCCACAGACTCACCTCAAACAACAGAAATCAGTTGGGTAAATGAATGCGTATACAGCTTTCCCAAGTGTTTTCTTCAGAACTCTGTCATCTAATTCTCAAAACCATGATACGAGTGGTAAAACAAATGTGTTATAAAACACATTTTACAAATGAAGAAACCCAGACACAAGGAGATGAACCGCTGTGCCCAAACCACATGGCTAGTTATTGATGTGTGCATGATGACAACTCAAGTCTCCTCTCTCCTCCCTCAGTAATCTTATTATTGAGATTCATTAAGTATCAAGAAATAACCTGCACAGAATCAATAATAATTTAAAATCATGCAAAGATACACGAACTACTGTACCAGTTTTTTTCCAGTCTGATGAAGGAAATTAATAATTAACATATTCTGCTTAAAAATTTAAACCACCAACAGCAAGGCATTTACAATTCAAAAAACCACCGGTATTCGTAACAAATAGGAAGCCCACATAATATGCACTGAGCCAGCATCTTCCTGATTTATCCTGCTCATTACCTTTTAAATGTAACATTTCGGACGGTGTTAATCCTCAACTACAACTCAAAGTAAAGTAAAGGCTTGACTTTCCATTACCAACTAAGGTCTCACTTCAGAGTGAATTTCTTCTTGTTTAATAATAAATGGTAACATGCAAAAGCACCCACGCTAAGTCCACACAAGGGACTCTTGAATGGTCTGGGATTTAATATAACTAAATTAAACCATACCCCTAAAATAAGGAGATTTTTCAAGCTTCTTTTTCTGTGCATATTTGGTGCTCCCAGTGGAGCTTTAAGCCCCAAAGAGCTCTATGTGAATTCCTTGGGGAATTTCGGCTAGCCAAAGCAGTGCCGTAGAGAAATCTGTATGAACAGAGTGGCCTTAAGAATGGTTACCCCCTACAGCATCAAAAGGCGTCAGGTACACACGCACCCAAATAAAAACACTCAAAATCGATTACCTATGTGATTTTTAAGTGTCAGCTCTCCAATCATTTCAAGTTACTTGTGTAGAAAAGGTTCCTTTCAAATCACAGTCGAGTCAGGAGTTCCAGGGGGCCCATCTCCACCTCAACCCCGAGCTCCCAGCCCGGAACACCTCGTCCCTGATCCATTCGCTGCGTAGATTACAGCACCGAGGCACGGCGATCGCCGTTCGCCCGCTCCGGCTCAGCCCGCTTTGGACTGCCCGGCGCCTCCTTCCCACCCCCTTCCCGCAACATTTGTGCACTTTGCGTGGATCTGATCCAGGCCTCTAGCCTCCCCTTCCCGGCTCCCAGCCAGAAAGAGTGGGCGCGGCAACTGGAGCATCAGGCAGGAGAAGCGGACCCCTGCCTGCCAGCCCGGACGGCCGCCGCGACTCCATCCCCTGGCGTGGGGCTCGCAGACGTCCGGGCGGGCGGGCGACAGCGCGAGGCCGGCGACTTCCACGCCGTCCCCACAGCCCCGCTCCTTTCCGCCTCCGTGCCGGCCACCGCTGGCTCCCCTCTGGCCCCTGAGCGCAGAGCTGGGGTAGGAGTAGGATAGGCAAGTGAGAAAACACGCGCGTGCAAGGGTGCGAGCGCGGACACACCGCGCCGGGCAGGCAGAACCCCGCCTCTCCGCCAACTCCCGCCTCGGACCAGCCGCCGGCCCGGCGCTCCAGGCTCCCCGCCCTGGGACAAAGCTGCCGCGGCCTCCCCGCGAGCGCGGGGCGCGTCGGGGCCCGGTCTCCTCGGACATCCCCGGCCGCTGCTCCGTCCCAAAGGGCCTCCGGGCCCCGGAACAGCGAGGGGAGCCCGGCTGGGGTCCGCAGCCCCTGCCCGCGGCCCCGCCGCCGCTCACCTGTTCAGCACTTTGCGGATCCTCTGGCGCACGCCAGCCCGGGAGGAGGCGGACAGGCTTCCGCCGCCGCCGCCGCCGCTGCCGCCGCCCTCGGCCGGCAGGTTCTCGATGGTGGTCACCACATGGTTCGGCTGGGCCGGCGGCGGCGGCGGCTGCAGGAGCTGCTGCGGCGGCTCCGGGGGAATCATCGCGGCGAAGGCAGCGGCGCGGCGGCGATCAGAAGGCAACCGGGCGCATCGTGCGCCGGCTCCGGCCCGGGAACGCGCAGAGGACCCGGCCGGGCGGCCGCGGCCCGAGAAGGCGGCGCTGCGGGCGAAGCCGCCGGGCGGGAGGATACCCGCGGCTACTGCCGCCGTCGCCGCCCAGCCGGCCGCTCGCTGCTCTCCAGTCCCAGGGCGCGCACCTCGCTCCGCCGCCACCGACCGCCCTGGCTCTTCCCGAGCCGCGTCGCCAAGTCCTGGCACGCCCCGCGAAGTGGCCGTGAAGGGTGCTGCGCGGAAGGGCGGAGCTGCCGGTCGGCTCGGGAGACCCCGCCGAGAGAGGGGCTGGGGCTCCGGGCGGGAGTCGCCTTCTCTCCCGGTGCCCAGGTCTGCTCGCGGCGAGCGGCGGCAGTTGTGCGGGCGCTGCCTCAGCCTGTGCCCTGCTCGCTCGGAAAGCTGCCGTCTGTGTCTCACGGAGCGAGAGACCGAGCGTGAACCCGGAGAGCCGGGCGGGGGCGCCGCGGTGGCGGCGGCGGCGGCGAGGGGGCCGGGGCGGGGCCGCGCGCTCTCTTCTCGCCAGAGGGCGCTCCCGCGGCGCCGCTTACCCGGGACCCTGTCCTCCGCCGACCGCCGGAGGCCCCCGGCCCGAGTTGAGGAGACTGTCGTTTTATTTGGGGGGTGGGGGGGCCTTTGTGTGGTTTTTGTTGTTCTTTTCTGTGGGGCTGGAGCTGAATCCTCTCTCTCTGGCGAGGCCTGCCCTCTCCTGCCGAGACCCGGGGAACCTAGCACCACCCTCCCGGGACAGCGACAGGATGCTAAAATCCGGCGAACTCGAGTATCTTAAATATTACACCTACGCTCACCATAATGTGCCTGCAAGAAATTGGAGGAGAAGCAACTTCGTACAAAGAATTCATTCTGGGAACTATAAAATGCATATCAGACCAACTAACTTAACGTCTTCGTTTTGTAGCGCTGTGAAAGCAATGTAGGCCGATGTGGGTTCCAATTGCGTCTCTAAAACTTATTAGCAAAAATTCCCTAAGCAATTTACTTAAATTCTGAGACGTAGTCTTTGTGCAGCGGGGCAACTCGCGTCTTTCTCCCTGTGGAGTCCTAAGAGTTAAATGAGGTAAAGCACCCAGCAGGGGGCCCTGACAGTTTCTTCAGCGATGCTGTGACTGGGGATCTCCGCTCTCAAAAGGGAAACCCCTGTGTATCCGGCATAGAAATCTCACAGCTGAACAAGACCGTATTTCCACCAGCGGAAACTGATTCTCTGTCACTGGCAACTCTTATACCTACTGATCCAGATCCCAGAGAGATGTATTTTTCACATTTTCCTTTATCTAAATTGCTAGATATGGATCCCTCAGAGAAAAATGATACATATTTTTTAATTTTTTCCGTTTCCGTGTAGTATGTGGAATTGTTTGTCCTGAATAGGTTTAGTAGGTAAGAAAAGCATGTCAATACCACAACTAAATCCAAATGCATCGGAAACCAGCAAATATAAAACACTGGTGCCAGGATTTGCCGAAAGAACAGGTCAGGGGAGATAACAACGTTAAAGAAAACAATGGACTATGTCTGATTCACAGAAGGGGAAAGGGAGAGAGGAGGATAAAAAGAAGATGAAATTTATTGTTTGCCTAAGAATTAAGTTCTCCTCCCTTTAACAATATTGCGATCCCCTTCTTTTAATCATCAAAAATTTGAGGGAAACAGCTCTCAAAAAAAAACAAACTTTCCAACCCATATTTCAATTTATGTAAAACTTGGTTACCACCTGAAATATCCCTGAGATCTTTTTCTACAAAATTTAACCCAAATTAGAACATTATCGCTCTTATAATTAACACACTGTCTTGTTCTTTATTAACAACCTTTCATTCTCAAATTTTTCTACCTCAGATTTGTACAGGACACTATGAAGAATTGTTACAATTAGGACTAAGGCTTATAATTTCATGGCCATTCATACTCTAATAGTTCACAATGAGTTTGCCCTTCAGGGACCCACCAAATGTTGGAAACGTGAATAATATGCCCTTCTGCTACATCTGGCAGCAACTCATGGTAGGAGTCTCTATTAAAACAACATTTATAGTAATTTCAGGTGTCTGCTTTGAATGACTAGTTGCTTCAGTGCCCTCTTCCTTCACATTTGGCTTGCTTCCCTTTGAATGTTTTTGGCATGTCACAACTCGGAGCTGTGCCTGCACTTCAATGTGTACATTTGCATCTGGTCATTTCTCTAGAGGGACTATTGAATCCAAATTATCTAAATCTCCACTGAGTCAGGAAGGGAGAAAACCAAGATGGGAAAGGAACAAGATGAGAGATGTAAAATTTCAATCCAGCTGTTAAGAAAGGACCTAAATACAGTCACAAGCTTTATATTTTTATTATTCCTTATTGTAAAGGGGACACAGTATCAGATCCCTTCTTATGCTCCAATTTTGGGCTTCCTGCTCATTGCCTAAAATAGCTAAACAGCTAAGTAGCATTTGAGAGATAAGGAAACATGTTAAAAGTACAAGTGTCATAGAGGTGTGTTTTACATGGAATTAAACAGAAAAGATGTGGAGAAGGCTTATTTTCCTTTTTCCTGCTGCCTCCTTAGACTCAAATTCTGTCCTCTATGAGCTCTGAACAAAAGGAAAAGGGATGAAGGTAATAGGTTCAGAATCTATATGTAGTTTTTTAGTGATGCCATATGAATTTCAGGGACACCCTTACTGCTCAGTTTACCTCTTTGACCAGTTGTGGTTAGTGACACAAAACTAACAAAATTTCTATTCCACTTTTACCATGACATCACCGAAGTTTCACTTAACTCAGATGCTAGCTCTGTTGAATATCTTTAGGAAGCAGAAGTCGACTTTCAGCTATACCTTCTTGAAAGTTGATCATTTTGAAGACATTTTCACTCATATGGAGGAGTAGTATTTGTCCTGTGTTTCAACCACAGGATCACCAGGCATTTTGACTAATTTGCTTAGCATAGACTGCACCTGTGTTGCATTGGGTAAAAGCTTCAAAGTCATGCTCCAAAAGTGGCTGATGATCCTCCCCCAGATTGCTGAACAGTTGCCTAGAATTGCTTGTGCTGCTGCAAATGCCCAACAGTCCGTATGTTTTCCCTGTGCCATTCTCTTACCTTTTTTTCTTTCTTTCCTAAGTCATGTTGAATTCACTCAACACATGTGTCTAGAATGATAGAGCTTCACAGTTTTGATTCATATAATTGAATTCACACAGGAGAAAAGAAAGCAAAGCTCATGGAAAATTTGTGGAGAGAGGAAAGGGGAAAGGAGAAGAATGGATAGGTCTTTAAATTTATATCCAAGAGGTGGACAAAATAATTGGGAGGTCAAATTGGCAGAACTTCAATGAGTCCCCCTCACCATTAAAAATAGTCTGTAAGTCTGTAGATGGAAGTAGCGGATATGAAAAATACGCACAGAGTAGAAAAACAGACGACAGACAACAAACAACAGGTTTCAAAGACCATTCACACCTTTTACATCCCTCTTGTTTATTTATGTAACTTTTCTGTTTTGTGTTTTGGTAACATATTCTGTGGGAAACATTTGTAGGCTTATAATTGAGCTTTCCTGGTAAGAGATATGAAGGACTGAAGGAGATTAGTGTTGTTAGTTGTGAATAATGACTCATTTCCCAGTCAGACTGCATTCTTACAGGTTAAAAATTTCAAAGCACTGTTTGCCAAGTGTCCCATTTCCAAAAACAAAGTACGCCGCCTCTCTGACATGGTGACACTATAGCCTTTGTCAACAGAAAGCTTGCCATATTCAATGAGTACCCTGGTTCAATAGGGTCAGTTTCCTCTAACTGGTTCACCATTATAATATCCTAATATGCTAGCCAACATATATGTGAATCATTTGTCTTAGCCAGCTCAGCCTCATGAGCGCCTTCTTCCTGGTTTGCAAATAGCCACCTTCTTGCTGTATCTTCAGCATGGAGAAAGATCATGTCTCTCATGTCTCTTATGAAGGCACTAATACTATTCATGACGGCTCCACCCTCATTACTTAATTATCTTCCAAAAACCCACCTTCAAATACTATCACATTGGAGATTAGGGTTTCAACATATAAATTTTGCAAACATTCATTTCATAGCAATATCCTAGAAGCTCTCACTATTTTAAACACAGTATCAATTGTCTGTACATTGATCCTCATATGAACTTCAGTTATCATTTTTAGCTGATGACTTTAATATCTTCTACCTCTAAACATTTTAATCCACAAAAATAATAATGCAAAAGCTTAAGTAAAATTGTAGTGACTCTAATGTAGACTTGTCAGTGGCCAGACAGAAAGTGGTGGAGGTAGAAATCTCAGTTCCAATTCCAGTTCTGTTGACTGACAAGATTAATTTTAGGCAATTTTTTTAAACTTTCTGAATGCGAGTTTCTAATAAAAAAGAAATGAACATAAAAATTTATCTTTCAGGACACAAGCAGACTAGCAATAATATACAGAGAGAACCTGGCATAAAGGGTATTTTTTTTAAAGAATTATTCTAGACCTAGACATAATGGAGTGTATGGTATTAGATTTAACTTGCCCCATAAGCAATTCTAGAAGTTGGATTAAATATTAGGAGCCAATGTAAGGCTAGGATCCTTCAGGGAAAAAAGAAACACATCAGAAATGAAGCAATTAGGACATTAAATGAGCCCCAGGTTCATTCCAAACCTCCATCCTGAGGGCATTTTCCAAACCCCATGCAGGAAGATAGTGCCCAATCAGAGAGTGGTAGTCTCACTGCAGAGAAGATACAGCAATCAGAGTTTAGAGCTACAAATGGCTCTGAGATTTGTTGGGCAGGATTCTAGAAAGGACAGACCTAAGAGAAGGAACCTAAAATCTCTGTGTGAAAGCTCTGCTCAGAGCCAATTCCTAAACTTTACTGTGGAGGACAAGATTCTAGGAGGCCCAGCAAAGACAGCTACTAGAAAGCTGGTGAATTTAGTTTCAGCAGCACAGTGCTGGAGGAAGTTGGAATTTAGGCCCATTGATTGTTAGTAGTACTTGGTGAACCCCCAGATTTTTGGCTAAGATTTTTTAAAAGATGGCACAATAGATATAAGGA